AGCTACCCTCTAAGACAAAAAAATGTTTCGTCCTTTATTTTTTGTTTCAACACCGAGTCATAGTTTTTAGGTTGCATATCTATCTTTCATGTGTAGAATACTTTAAACTTCAGTGTAAATGCATAAATACTGGAGAATGAGTATAGGGAACCATGCAATGATGAACTAGAAATCTGTTGAATGAATTCCTCTGATTCCTTAGTTGAAATCTCGCACATATTTGTTCTTTACTACCAGTTGAATTGATCAGAATGTTACCTGAAATTCACATACATATATAACTTGTAGACTGTCAATGGAAATCTGTCAACAAAATCTGATAATTAGTGGACTTCTTCTTCTTTTTTCCCCCTAAATCCTGTAGCTGACCTGCAGGAGTTGGCAAAGCTTTCCCAGAAATTCGAAGAGAATATTATTGATGCGACTAAAATGTTTGAGAAAATTATTATAGATAAAAAAGAAGTTGAAGGCATACCTTTGATTGCACTTACTGTAGCTGCAGAGAAAGCGGTGCTCAAGGTATCACTTTTTAACCTCCAACTTTAATGAGTAAATACATTTTGACATTACAATAGTCATATACTTTCTTCTCATTTACCATTTGGTTCGTGGTGTTTCTTGGTCATTGCAGGGATATGCAAAGGCCACAGCTGATGATGGATGTCCCATGGGCTATTACATTGGGCGGCCCAAGCTATAGAGCTGTTTTGCAACATTCTTGCAATAGATCTTTGAGAGAGGAAGTTTATCGTGCTCATGTGACCCGTGCCTCTGATGGAACTTTAAACAATAACCATTTATAGAACGCATATTGGAGCTCAGGTTAAAGAAAGCAAAGCTTCTAGACTACAGTAACTTTTCAGGGGTATGCAAGATGGTTATTCTAATATTCTCTTTCACATTTTATTACAAGATCATAAATATGAATATTAGGTGAGCATGGAAACCAAAATGGCCACCATTGATAAAGCAAAGGATCTTCTATATAAGCTTCATAGTGCTTCTTGGAATCCTGCTACTAAGGGTAAGTGTTTACCTTAAAAAATGCACATTTATTATTTTGAATCAAGCTAATATCAATATCACTTAGTGATCTCAAGAGAAATGCCAAAGATGTTGCCATCCATTTCTTCAAATAATTGAATCTACCATGTTGAGATTTTAAAATTGAAAATATTGAATGTTCCTTCGATCTAGTTGATAAATATATTCATAATTAGAATTGAGACTTACTTCTGAATGGCCCAGAGCAATCTTACTGGCTGTTATGATTGTAATACCCAACTCTTGACCCACATCT